GGTGCGAGTGCGTGCGGGTGTTTGAAGCGCGCGTGTATTCTATCATAAACAATCGCTGACGCTCGCGAGCGTGTTTACACAGTGTGTTTTACACCGTGTGTTTATGTAGCGACGATCGCACTAACCGTGGGGGCGTGCATACATCATAATCAACCCGCCGCTGTTTTACCCGTGTGCCCGTGCCCGCGTGCGTGTTTGCATAGCGGATTAAAGCCGGGAGGGGGAGGGGCGCGTGCATATTCACATGGCTATTTTTAGCGCGAGCCATGGTGAGCAACCTGCACGGGTATGCGCGTGCACGCAGCCACTCCCGCATTAGTGGTGGTGTACGTGGGGAGTGTGTGGGATAACCCGAGGTGGTGAGGAGCCAGCCACTAGCCATGTCCCATAGAGAGGATGCTGGTACGGGGAGGCCGATCACGCGATTGGGTGGCAGCCCGATGAGAAGGGGCGAAGGAGGGGGGAGAGGAGGAGGGGGGCGTTAGCCCCCACATTGCCCCTCAGCGGTTCAAGGTGGCAGGTAAGCCGGGCTGTGTGATACTGCTTCATATTGCAGTTACAGTATGGGGTGTATATGTAGGCATGCATATCTGTCAACCCCTTATTACAGACCAATTCAGACCTTATTGGTCACCCCATGCCCTTATAAATCTCAATGTTTAACCAACAAAGTCCCATCACAAGGCAGAAACACAAACAAATAGACACATTTTTGCCCGTATTGAAACGGCTGTACGCACAGTATGGACCGAAAAAACTAACTTTCCCTCGACAAGAAACGGATAAACCATATGGGTTGACAGGTATGGGCATGGGACAATTAAGTAAAGCTGTAGTTTAACACGAATGCCTTCGCGACCTACGTGTTAAACTGATTAACCTCTATGGGAATACTTTTCTTCCAACCAGAAAATTGCAAAACTCCGAATCAAGCGGATGAAGCTGATGTCTTCACTGGCATTCCTCAAAAGATGACATTAACCCCACCCTGGCATTCGCACCTGATTGGCTCACAGGTGACGACATCACATTTATCCCTCAATTTAAGAACGAAAAGGAGGATTTCTTCACAAAATCTGACTGTTGCCTGATGATGCTATTTGTCATTACTGGCGAAACGTCGTACTTTAATTGTAATAGTTGTGGTTTACTCTCTAACACATCGGTGTGTTGTACTAATAACGAATTGACGTTTTGTTTACATGACAAACCTTACTAATTGGCTGTCGGGTCGTGGCGTGGCGGGTTTGATGACACATTTATATTTACAGGATCTAACCCAAAAAAACTATTTTGGATAAAGCGGTTGTGTCTTTTTTGCAAATTAGTAATATTTAGACAGGATTTATCAATTCATTTTTTTGCGTTCGATCGCATAGGTATAAATGTGTCGTTAACCCGCCACCACCCACTAAAAGCCAATTAGTAAGGTTTGGCACGTAAATAAAATGTGCCAATTAGTTATTACTTCAACACACTGGTGTGTTGGAGAGTAAATCCACAACATTTACAGTTTGCGTACGACGTTTCTCTGGTAATTACATCCAGCATCAAACCTTTATTATGAATATTGGTCGTGTAAGCCTACGTGTCAGGGGTTACCAATACTGTATCTTCAATTATCGTATAAAGTACTGTTATTACCACTATTGCTCCATAGTTCATGTTAGTTCCATAGTTCATATATTTGGTATAGCCCTGTGAGCCATTCGGCTCTTGAATCGGGTGCAACCGCAACAAACAAAAACATGAACAATAAAACATCTTAAAGTGATTGTGACTGTGCAAACAGAAAATCCAGGAAAAAAACATCAAAATATTCCTGAAATAGCACCGTACACCAACGCTGTGTGCAAAAATCCCAGTGGGATGCAAGTCAAATAACAACAACAACAACAACCACAAGACAACTAAGATTAAGGCCATCAGTCTAACTCCGTACTACAATAAACAAAACATGGCCAAAACCAAAAAACAAGTTTTCGAAATCACCTAAATAAAAACCATAAATGCAATGTAACAGTGATCATGGGGACTGTGACCGAATTTTTTACAATAAACTACATAAATAAATTATAACACCAAATCTAGAGCCATATTTTAGGCCCCTGAAAAGCAGTGGCAGCTAGGGGTGTACAACTCCTCTAGAGCAGTTTTGAGTGAAGATCTCATAGGTAGTGATTCAAGTTGCAGTTTATTGGCAATGGCATTCCAGACCCTGGGGGCATCAATAGCAAAGGCCCTTCCTCAAGTTTTTGTACGGCAATAGGGAATGTGAAGCTGGTAAATGAGCGAAGACCTGAGGTCAAATTTGTTCTTTGAAACAGAGAGGAGATCCAATAGGTAGTCTGCGGATTTTTTTGTAAGTACATCGTGAATAAATAAGATCTGGTGCACAAGCCGTCGAACATTAAGAGATGTTAAGTTTGACCCAATGTAGAGATCACAGTGGTGAGTCCTATATGGGCAATTCAATGCAAATCATAAGGCCGAGTGATAGATGGAATCAAGCTTCTTCAGTACAGTACTTGGGGCTGATTTATACACGATGTCACAGTAGTCAAGTAGAGGCAGTATGGTAGCTTTTATCAATTCCAAACGGAACATTGGGGGGAAGCAGTGCTTGTGTCGATACAGAAAACCAATTTTTATTTTTGTCTTTTTACCAATATAATCAATGTGATCTTCAAAACTAAGTTTTGAATCCAGGATGACCCCAAGATACTTATAGATCTTGACTTGCTCTATTTGATAATTATTCAAGGAATGTAATTAGGGAAAATAACTTCCTGCTTTAGTCCCGGTGAGAAGCATAGCACCTTGGTTTTGGAGGTATTCAGGACTAATTTAAGATAAACTAGCTGATGTTGTAGTTTGTTGAAATCATCCTGGAGCTTAGCAATCACGTCATCCAGAGAGTGGCCAGCAGTAATCAGTGTCGTGTCATCTGCAAAAAGATTTACCCTGGAATGATCCAGGTCAGTGCCCAAGTCATTGACATAAAGAGAGAACAAGAGGATGGAACCCTGTGGAACCCATTTTGTTATCTTAACACTGTTTGACCTCCAACCATCTGTGAATACAGTTTGGGTGCGAGAAAAGAGGAATTTTTTAACCATTGTACTGTGTTCTCGGAAAAACCGAGGCAACTTAGTTTACTAAGCAGGGTGTTGTGGTCTACTGTATCAAAAGCTTTGGACAGGTCAAGAAAAAGACAGGCACAGTACTGCTTGTTATCAAGGCTATTGTAAATTTGATTCAAAGAGTCTAATGCAGCAGATGTGATGCTGTATTATTTTTGGAACCCAGATTGTTTTAGATGTAGTAGATTGTTGGTGGACAGGAAACAGCTTTAACAGCTTTAAATCGAAAGAAAACTGCTAATTTGGTAGTTCAATAATTTTTCAAAAATTTTCATCAATGGGGACAAAATTGAGATAGGTCGGTAGTTATTGGGATCATCTTTAGGGCCCCCTTTGTGAAGTAGACGGACATAGGAATGTTTCCATTCTAGAGGAACTGATGCTTCTTTGATGGACAGGTTGAAAATATGGGCTATAGGTTTGTATATTAGGTGACCAACAGTTAGTAGAGCAAAGACGGGAAAACTATCTGCTCCGGTAGAGGAGGACCCTTTGAGGTAGGACAGTTGTTTCAGAACATTGCTTTCGTGGATTGGTTGGAAACTAAATTCGTTTAATGTTTGGACAGGGGTGTAGGAATTTGCAGGAGCAGGGGTGACTCCCAATACATTATCAAAAAGATTACCAGCTTCAGAAAAATGAAGGTTAAAATTGTCTACTATTTTTGGGGGATCTGAAAAATATTCCCCATTGCGGTTAAGCTCAACGGGCAGATTGTCTGTTTTTGATGCCTTTTCGATATATTTGATTGTTTTCCAAAAAATCCTGGCATTTCCATGTGATTCCAGGAGAGTGGAAGAAAAGTAGGCATTTTTTGCATGCCGTATTTTTTTACGCATCTATTCCTTAAAATCCTGTATTCTAGCCAGTCATTTACCAAATTACTTTTCTGAGCACATGCCCAAGCCTTGTCCCTAGTTTTCATGAGCTTTGTAATCAAAGGATCATACCATGGTGGGCGGTTGTCTTTATTTTTAAATCTAACCAACGGAGCATGTTTGTTAAGAATTTGGAGAAACGTGTACCTGAAAATCTCCCAAGCCGTAGTCAGGTTGGGGATATCACAGACCTTATCAATAACCGAGTGAAGCACATCATTCGTAAATGCGTGAGTGCTGAAGTGCCTCAAAGAGTGCTTCTCAACAATTTTAGGGGGGGCTTTGGGTCTGGCTGGTGATCACACCCCAAAAATGAAGGAGTGATCACTAAGGTTATAAACCAGAACACAAGTCAGTGCGAAATTGTGAGGGGCATTTGTCAATAGGACGTCAAGCAGAGTTGACTGTTCCGGGTTTTTTAGGTTGGGTCTTGTGGGGACATTTATTAATAGCTAGATCCTACCTGGTAATAGTCCATTGGCAGGTCGTGAGGGTGGAGTCAAGTATGAATACTTCCACCTTTTTCAAGACACATGCCTAGTGTGGACGATCAGACCAACTACTCTAAAAAGGAGCTTTCTAGAACTCCCTCTAGCGTTCTTCCACCAACAGTGGCGTGGGCAATAAATTGCAAGGGCTGTACTTTTACATTTTATTGTTACAGTGTTAAGGTATTAACGTCCTTGCAGAAAGCTCCGACTATTTTGGCCAAAAGCTATGGCGAGTTGTAAATTGATAAATGGGTTCACTAAGTGGTGAATTAGCATATTACCTGAAAGTGAGCCATCGTTTGAGGTGTAATCCTAATACTATGTTCAAAATCTATTCCTTTTTAGTTGAATACTTCTCTTTAAAACATCATGGAGAAATGGGAGTCATCTACAGAACTGGTTTTTAAACTGTATTGTGTTAGTTGTTATGCTGTTGCTATGAGTGTATTGATAACAGTCTTTGCGGTAATGAGAAAATGACACGAAGCTTTATGAGCCAGTATTTATTTATGGCAAACATCGATTAATCAGTTTCAGCATAGAGAACTTTGCAGTATTGTTACAATGTATTTAACCCTAAATATCACATACAAGTATTAGAGACGAGCATACATTATTGTCTATTATTTTGATAGTCGTGCGTTTGTAAATACGCTTGCGATTAAAAGTAGGAAAATATAGATTGTGCATCTTGAATACTCGTAGTGCATTACAGTTATCGAGGATGGAGCTCTGTATTATCGTGCTGTGGATTACAAGTGATTATAAGATGATCACCCCTGAAAAGTGGATACAAGATATGCATGAGCTCTTGACGGAAAACATTTTTAGCCCTCATATAGATAATCCACCTGAGTCCACTTCTGTCCAGCATCAACTGGTGCCAATCTGCCCTCTATCACGTTTTCCCTGTTCATCCCTTAACAACTCAGCGGGCCTTTGCACCACGATTCATGAGTACAGCACAATAGGCCCAGGGGCCGTTACATTTTTATTTACATACTTTATACCAATTATCTGACGAAAACTGATTATACATGCGATTTAAAGCAGACATGCATATATTTAATGTCGAAAAAATGTACCATGAGGTATCTTACCTAAAACACAAATTGAACACTTATAGTCACGGCAACTTAACTCCAGCCATCAATGGCACTGACAGGGTCAGCAAGTGGTCAAAGTGCTTTCTGCTACTGCTTCCATCTAGTGGCCAAAGGCTGTATCACTTCATTGCCAGACAGGCCTCAGACTGAGACGCTGTTATTTTTTTCAATGGGTTACTTTCCTATGAATTGCTTCAATTATACATAAAAGTAATACTTAAAATAACAGGCTCGTAACACCTTCCTCTATTTCCATATCAAAGTAAGATTTTGTATATAAAATAGCAATGGATGATAGCTAGAGAATGGATGTCATGACAGTTGTCAAACTACCCAACAATTATTAAAACTGCCTGCAGGGCCAATGGCTCAGAAACGTTAATGTAACGTTGTTCCACTCAAGTTTGCATGCAATGTGAACGTACACTACTGAATGCAGGCAATTATGCTGAGTTAATCTGCAATGAAAATGTGGAAATTGTGCCTTGTCGCAGGACAGGTGAGAAAGGGCTCCACAGGAAGTTAGTCAGCCCAGAAACGATGTTGTGTAGTGACACCGTGGCACTGATGTGTGAGTGTGCAGTGCAACTGATCTGCACAACATCGAAATAGGGCAGAGTAAAACTATTCTTATTCGCGACTGTCTTATCCACGGAGTTGGCCAGTTTCTGTTACATGCAATTGTGCCAATTATAAGTGGGTTGACCAGCAGATGGGTGCAAACTCTTTCTATTATTTATCTGTGATAGTCACATATCCGTGTAAAGCCATGTACTGTGCTGCAGAAAATTATAGTCCAAAAGAAGGCTCCATCGAGTCCATAATGCTATGAAAGTACAAGAAAACATTGTGCATTTCATCAATTGCAAATAGTAACCCTATAAAGTAAATTTAGCTGGCTGGCAAGGCTCAGCTTGTCCATTGGAGCCACTGGTATGTGTGATCGTCAGGGAATTGAAAATAATTGAGGTTTCATATTTGGCTGTTCAAAAATCTGAAGAGAGATCGGCTGGCGGATTGTTGCGGCGTCCACAGTGTTGCAGGCACTGTACCATTCCATGGTAGTAAAGCGGGAGCTGAGTTCTCGAACAAAGCTCTCAGTTTACAGGTCGATCTCCATTCCCACCCTCACCGAGAGTCATGAGCTTTGGGTAATAACCAAGAAGATGAGATCGTGGGTACAAGGTGCCGAAATGAGGTTTCTCCACAGGGTTGCCAGGCTCACTCTCCATGATCGAGTGAGGAGCTCGGTAATCCGGGAGAGCCTCAGAGTCGAGCCGCTCCTCCTCCAGATCGAGAATGGCCAGTTGAGGTGGTTAGGGCACCTTATGAGGATGCCCCCCAATAGACCCCCCCTGGAACTCTACCGGGCACGTTCCACTGGGCAAAGACCCCGTGGTCGGCCCAGAACACGGTGGTGGGACTATGTCGCTCGGTTGGCCTGAGAACGCCTGGGAATTCTCCAGGAAGAGCGAAAGTCTGTCGTCAGGAAAAGGGAGGTCTGTACTGCCCTACTTAACATGCTGCTGCCGCGACCCTCACCAGGACAAGCGAATAGAGAAATGAACGAACAAAAATCTGAAGATTAATTAACTATGTTTGTAAAAGCATATTTTAGGTAAGATCTTTCCTAACTTATAATTGTTTATATAGAGAGATTATCAGTACACGTGGCAGTGAAAACAATATGGTTCCTGTAAAGGCCTTCGGTTGGCTATGAACAGTGCGAAAGTAGTTCAACATACGTACATATATGGCAATCTGATCATCGTTATTATTTTCCATGAATAAATTATTGAAACTGTATCCATGTTTCGTTACTGATAACAGGCTCAATAGTGAGGACCCCACACCACACCCACAGAGCAACATGCAGGGGTTCAGAGAAGTGAGCATAAAATGTGTGTAGATGCTCATTGTTGTCAGCATTGTAAAATAACAGAACCCGTTTATCATAGTCCAAGCCAACACCGATTCTGCGAGGATGTTCACCCACTTCGAGCTCCGTGCTATGCTGGTCGTGCCAGGCCTTGTATTTGTTCTCGTGTTTCCATAAACACCAGGACCTGCTGTTAAATCCCATCAGGCATGCACTGTCTGGTTCTTTACGTAGAATACTCTGGTAAGAGACACCAACACGAAGGTTTTCCACGTTCCCCACATTCACCACCCAGAAGTGGCATCCTTCAGAGAAACTCTCAGCGGACAGCACCTGTGACCAGTATATGAACCGATCTGGGTGATCGGGTTTATCTGGAGGGCTCTCGAGCCATTCCGCTGTCTTTCCAACCTCTGAGATGTTAAGTTCTTTATGTGCTGTGTTCCGATTAAGAGTTGGAGAGCATTTAACTGCAAAGAAACCAGTGAAACATGTGAACAGACATTCACAACCAGAGTTCAGTTATCATTCAAGATTTATAATTCCTAATTTTCAGCAAAACAAAATCAGACGGAAGCATGGATATTAATATATTGCAAATTAAACAATTACTTAATATATGTGTACTTAACAATAAAAAATGCCTCAGTTATTAAATATATTTTTCTTTAATAATTATTTTACCTGTAATGTATACTAAAACAATACCTAGCAGCAAAATGGTGTGACTTAAAATGTACCTTAAGCAAAAAGTTATTTTAATTATATATTTGCCTTGAGAATTTATATCCATGATTAACTAAGAAAAGTCCCACACAGTGAGGCCCAGTTGCCCATCAGATCCCACATACCGGCAGAGTGAAGCAGGGTCTGCAGCTGCGTTTGCTTGTTCTGTCCTGCAAGGATCATCTCCAGGAGCCCCTGGCACTTCTCCTCACCCTCACGAATAAAGTAATTCAGTATAAAGATTGCACGTGCTGAGATGTCAGTAATTTCGTAAGCCTTCTAGTACACGGATATGCCAATCTTGTATTTTTTTCCCATCTCGTACATGAAATAGAACGTGTTTTCAAAGATGGATTTATACACTTCTGGCAGCAACTCATGGAACTGCCGCCAAACGTCTCCATCACTGGACTTAATTTTCTTCTCGATGAGCATTCGTGGTTCCTGTCCACACGGGAAAGAAGCCACAATGGTCATTTGTTTTAATGTTATTTATATTGTTGTAGATTTTACTATTGCATTATTTTACATCATTCCTCCAGAGTTGCTAAAATGGAGTGTTACATTTTGGGTGCGTATTATTGAAACACTTATATTTCTGTAAAGGGATAAACGTCGTAGTTTTTTGTTCTTTTTTGTTATTTTCTTTTAACCTATCTACGTGACTTTACCGAAAGACCCAAGAATATGGTATTTCTATGGTTGTGGATTCTACATTTGTATTATTTTTCATAATTCCTCCAGAGTTGGTAAAATGGAGTGGTTACATTTTGGGTTCGTCTTATTGAAACATGAACATTTATGTTCAGGGATAAATGTCCCTGCCATTGTTATGTGGAATTTCCTCTAATAGTTTAGGACTACCCAAGACATTGAACTTCATTTTTGCAGGATCCCAGAATTGTTATAAAGGTGACAACTGACTTCCCAAAGGTATTATTTTACAGTTGCACTACTTCCTTTGATATTAATTTGTTACAGAGTACTTAGCCAGTTATTGGATTAATTACGTGGGGAATCGGATAACACAAATACAATTTGGGAAAAAAATTCTCCCCTCTGGTTCGATTTGTGCTGCTGGATAGCAGGAAAAGTCAGGGCTGCATGACACTAAGTGGAGCTTATATGTAATTTCCCAGTAAGCGTGGAACGTCGGTCCAACGGTGCAACCACACATCAACGCTGGCCCAACATTCAATGTCTACTGAGCTCCCATCTTTGGGCGGGAGGAAGTGGGGCATTTGCCATTTTTTTAATGGCCCTAGTAATTGACGACAAAAAGTAGTCAATTACAAATCATAATTCATGGATAGAATTAATTAATTAACCATTCCAGCTGTAGCTGTGATTAAATGTGTGGCTTTGGACCCTCTGGCCGTTTATTGTAACTATCTTGCACAGATTACTCGCTTTCATTGTATGAGAACATGAAAAATTTAAGACATTTTGTGAAATATACAGCTATGGGCAATTCATTCATATTATTTCTATTGGATAAAGTGTTCTAAGAATGATTGGCATTCATACCTTAAATGCCATAGCATCTCAAAGCCACTTGAAATAAAGTGAAATGCAAAACAGTGAAAATAGAGCGAGAGAGTAAAAAGACGAAATCAAGACGATACAAAAGATCCATGGCAGAGGGACACGACCAAAAGTGACTCCCGCAAGTACAACAGACTACTGAGATACCTAGGACCAGCAGAGACCAAAAGAAGTCTTGAACAACATGAAGGGAAATACAACGGCCAGCTTGGGCTAACCATCCTAACACACTACCAAACCACCACCACCACAATCCACAACACTAAACCACTGCACCAAAAGTAGCGGTAAATAAGTTCTGGGAGAGTCTACACGCCACAATTAAACAGTGGCAAGCTCCACAAGAGTACACGAGTTCCTGTGATGCAATGTCATGACAGCCAGCCCCCAGCGGATGCTGCTTGATTTACCTCAAGGACATCCTTGCGCATTTCCACACCAAGAAGGGGCACAGTCTCTGTCACTTTGCCAGAATCATCTGTTCCCGTACAAGAAGACAACGTGACACATGTCCACTCAGTAGGATCTACTGAAATCATTGCTAACGGTGACCCTGAGAGCACAATGTATGCTTTATTCTGTTATTACAATGGTATTATGGGAGTGTGTCTAAAAGTGAACCTGCTCTGGTCTTAAGTAAACTTCAAAATGTGGGGTTAAAAGTTTGCAAGGCACGTGAACATTGTGGCAGTACAGGTGTGAGATTATAGGATGGTCTTGTCAGTTAATAGATGTGCACTGAAACAATTGTACAGCAATTAAATATATATTAATTTATCTGTTGTGCATGATGCAAGCTCTTATTATCAAACAAATATTGCGACTAAAACACTGTCTGATATATTGACTAACATTTATTTGAGTTGTATTTTGTGCTTAAATGCACCACTATTAGCAATGTGGAAAATCTTAATGGTAATGTGTGTCAGCTGTTTCATGAAGATGGAATTCTGGTCCTTAATGTGTAGCAGATATTTGGATGACAGTATCAATGTACATTACATTGTAGAGTCACACATTTTCTTTTCTATGGGCGCTAGCTGATCAGCAACATTTACGTCGAGGTTTCTGAACCAGTGAACTGCTGCAAGACTAGTCTGACGAGTCTCTGAAATTCTACCAGTGCAATTTAAAAGCGTGCAGTGCCAGTCTATGTGATCGAAGGTTTGAGATTTGTGTCCGCAGTCATACTGTGTGCTAATCTTAAATTTTCAGTCCATAATGTATCCAAATTTGCCATTCTGATTAAGTTAAATACAGAGCATTTATTTTCCAGAGAAAATTGCAATTGAAGGTTTCTTCTGTGGACTCCGTGATAAAGCACTTGTTAAGGACCTTGGCATTGTTCGAGTTTACTCTCTCCCACGACTCAAGTTTGAATGAGGGCACTTTGAGAGCATAAGCTCGATCTTCCAGTGGGTTTCAGGTTTTTAATATAGACTTCCTGAGGTTCTGACGGTCCATTTGAATTGGTAGGTTTGGCATGGCTATAGAGCAAGTATAGTTGTGGGATGTTTTTTTGTCTGTTAATTGTTTAGGTGGATGTCTGGTCACATTTGGTTGATGTCAGTTATGTTGAAGAGTAGTGTGAAGCACGAACAAGGAAAACATTGAGGCAAATCAACACAATACAATTATTATATATACATAGTAGTGTCTATATGGAAATGCATAACATTCATAATTGTGGACGAGAAACTTAAATCAAGATTTAGCATTATTCAAATGCTGCTCAATAACATTGTAATAAGCAGGATTACTGCTTAGTCTTATCTTGGACATTGCACGTTTTCCTTCAAGTTTTTGTGATGTGCACTGGGAAGTCTTCCAATTAATCTACAGCCCTGATTTGTCTCCTCAAGAATAGCTGGGCCACTCATTGAAGCATTGGTCTCATTACTAAACAATGCCAATTATATCAAATGCTCTGTTTCTTACCAAAGGGGTATAAGCATTTCTTCTTCCGATAAATCAATAAGGGCACCACCACCAGAAGAATGATCACAATTCCGGTAAGAATTCCAATAGGAATTAGAATGTTTTTTTCTGCAGGTAGAAAATGACAGAGCACACACATTCAGCATGCATATGTATTGACATACAATTAAATGCTAAGACTATTATATATCACCCTCTGAAATAATGTTACATCGACACAAGTGCCTATGCTTTTATATCAGTGCATCAACCAATTTACATTTGGTCGCAATGTTGTCTAGTAACATGTATTTAAGTAGCAAACTTGGGGATGGTTTATACTGGCAAAGTCTCATCAGCAGTGTGGCCAATTATACAAATGTCAGCAAGATGTTGTGGCAAGAGCTAGCCACAAACATCGTGACGACTGGTTGGTGCCACACTAAATTTGCTTTGCTGTAGGGATCTGCTTCATGACGTAAATATGCACGATGAAGCCTGATGGATCAAATTATAGATATGATTTTTAACACTGTGGTGGGCAACAGGGGACAATGTAGCAAGATTCGTTGTTGTCCTGTGAATCTATGCAACCCCTTTTCAGCAACCCCCACTAACCAGCGTGGTACAGTTTTGTAAAATAACATCCACAATGCACATGTATATATATGTATGTTGAACTTATGTCGCACTGTATGTAGCCAACCGTACTAATCGGAGGTGTGGGGGAAGGACAACAAACAACACAAAACCAGTTCTAAACAAATGAGTTTTGAATCTAGATTTCAACGTGCATAGATCGAAAGGAAGAGCGTTCCAGACGGACGCAGCACATCTGAAAGCACACGATAAGTGACCGTCTCTGTTGATGGCGAGCCAAAAAAAGTCACTGTGATGATGACCGGAGTTTGTGATGGTTTATGCTCATGGAAGATCAGCAAGGTATTGTGCTTCATTTGTGTAGTGGGTTCCAGGACACGGCAGAATAGAAGCAGCACTATTTATTTAAACCTTAACAAGGGTTACACTAGAAGGCGTAGCGGCCCCTCCACCCGTATAACTCAGGAACACACCCCAGGCTCTCTAGCCTAAGCTCTAGGCTCCCAGTTCCTCCTGGTAGGGCTCTAAGGGAGGCTATCAGATCCGGCCCTGGTTATGCACAGATCTCGGCACCCCGCCAACCAGACCGGCCCTTAGAAGGACTCTGACTCTGGGGCTCTGGGGCCGCACCGCTGGCTTGCTGTGCCGGCCCTGAAAAGGGCAGCAGTCACAGGAGTTCCAGGGTCTCACCTAGCTGGCCTTCTTTCTTCACTGGTTGCTTCAGCCTCGGGCCCCACACTCTGCCCCGAGCTTCCTGGCTCCCCGCACTTTATACCCACTGGAGCCTTAGCGGACGTTGTTGTAGCCACCAAGGTGTGGGTGAACCACACCTTCCCGTGCCATGTGTTTATTCCCCATAGCACCCCTACATCACCCCCTCCCGTGTAACCCGCAGCCGTCCCGGCTGCAACAATACTCGAACAATAAACACAACAAATCCCCACCCGTGCGTGCCTCATAAGAACGAACACCCCAATAAATAACCCAACCCACCTATAAAAAATTACACTATATACACAAATACATTGCACCCCTACATTTGTGGCAAGCACTCGTTTGGCAACTGGAAGCAAATGCAGCTCAGAGAGCACGGCACAAACAAGGTCGGATCTTGCAGTACCCGTCACAACACATGCCAAATAATTTTGTACACGCTGCAGCTTGGTAATGTTTTAGCGAGACGTCCCATAGTGAGTTGTGAGTTGCAATATTCGAGCCTTGTCGATACTAAGCTACACACCACCGTGTTGGCAATGTCATGACTCAAAAGTGGTCGAATGTGTCGTAGAGCCCTGGTATGAAAATTACAGGACCTCATCCAGCAGTGGATTGACAAAAACATGTGTACTGTACGTGACAATTATGGTTTCTTTTTTGATAACACACAATCCACAATTGTGCAAATAATTACCACACAAAAGAACCTGATTTTAACTCAAGTGGGATCTTCGAAACAGCCGTACTGTTTAAATTGATAATATATCAATGACTTCCAAGATGTGTAAATTCATTACCAATTGCAAGTTGGTGAATTTCCTGATGCCAATCGCCCTTAATGTGCATATGTTGGTAACAGAAGCTATAGAAATAAACAGGACATTTCTCACCTGTGTCTGATGGAACTCCACAAGGCTGTGAAGGATGAGGCCGACTGTATCCATCCTTACACTTACACGCAGTGTCGCGAGTGACAGTACAGTCCTGTTGAACATCTTCATCTACACAGCAGAGAACAAAAGGAAACTTGATCTTGATTTGAAGCTTTCGTGACTGCAGGAATCCATACCCTTTGGTTCTTTCGGTAAAGTCACGTAGGTAGAAAAAATAATAGATCACGACGTTTCGATCGCAGCAACAAGTGACCGTCTTCAGGTGAGAGAATCAGACTGCTGTGGACGAGGCACAGCAGAGGGGTGGAGGGAGGGGAAGTTGCCGCATCGGGCATAATCGCTGGCCCTACCCTCTTGCTTTCAGTTTGGTGTTTTAACATCTTAACGCATGTTTTGTTGCCAGAAAAAAAGGGGAAAACCTATGATTATATTTTGACACTGGCGAAGGAGGTCCCATGATGATTAACGAATGTTTGTTGTTGTGAAAAGGAGCTTCATAGCTCATTGGATTCCTTCAGTGTAAATGAAGATTCTGATTCTAATGTATGGATGAGGGGCGTTATTCTTTGATCATTATAATCATAGTGGGTCAGATTTATCCGTAGCATGGCATTCGAGAATGCATGCCTCCCCGCAAGTCGACCCCAAACAATAATCGCAATTATAATAACATATGCGCGATGAGGTGAGTTTATCTCATCTGGTCTCCCCTGTGGAGGTTCATCAGAGATGAGATGAGGGACCAATGTGATGGCAGTTTAATAAACTATGGATGTTGCCTCTCCTCTTTAATGTTGCATAGTACTCAATTTGTATCACCTGGCGATGTATGAAAAAAAAAAGAACCAGAAAAATAATTTATCCGGATGACTTTGCCTGTAATCTGCCATGGACCCTCTTGACTGTGTAATTGTGAATATTTTCGATGAGTTGTTAATAACCAGGATATTTTAATCTCAACTCTAAAATAGGACGTGCTAGAGTTTCCAGTGATGTCATATTTGTATATGATTGCTCTGTCAAGGTTTCTGTGCGTGTGTTAATCCTTTTCTTAAGTTTCATTTCAGCTTTTCGCATTATGAAAGTATTTTGCTGTTATTAGACCATCCTACATTTCCAACGTATGATACATTTCCTCTTTGTTTATGTGCATTTTCAATTGCTGCAACTTCTGGAGCCAATTTGTGTAAAACTCGACTCGCCATCTTGTCCTCACCCTGCTGACCGTGGTCTGTGAGCCTGCAGTGCAACAGGGGAGTACCGGTTCAAACTGTCTGCGCCATCATCATCATCATCCTCCTATTTTCCTTCTTCTCTTCTGAGCAGTTCAATATCGTCACAGCCATATTCTTTACGCTATTTAAGAGGGAGGCCCTTTCCCATGAATTTAGTGAGATGATCGTCATATGTAGCAACAAAATGTATACTGCCTTGCTCAAGTTGAGATAAATGAAGATCAGCTAAAGGATTGGGGCCCACGGGAGGGACGTGGGGATCCTTCTGTTCAATCTGTCCATGTCTTCAGCATCGACCCCATCTTGGGTGCAGCCTATTAAGGAAAATGAATTCAACCAACCTGGGTTTTCATAGACCTCTATCTTCTTCTCACAATATGTTTTTTACACCACAACCCACTGTATAACGAATTGCATGGTCATCTAACTCACATTCTCATCAATTTGATTACTTGACTTGTTTGTTTTATTTAACATAGAGTGATTTATTAACCCTTAAAGCAATCATATCCACACTCTGATGAAATCTATATACACACATGAAACCTACTCATGTAGAACTCTTACAGAGAACGTTGCAGGTGCTGCACTTTTTGCATTCAGGACCACGGTTTGCAACATCCATGTAGTTCTTCCCTGGCGAGCAAGGTGAGCAGAGTGAATCACCGCCATCAGAAAAGCAGTCGTGAAACCAGCTGCTACCTGTAAAATAGACAAGTTCAAATAATAACGGGATCAGAAAGCAACTTTTAGTTCATTTTATTTTACATTTCAGGATTTTTTCCTGGAAACAAGTTTTTTTTATGTGGATGCTTTTCAAATTGATAACATTTTCTACAAAGAATAATATTAATTCCAAAGTTGTATTATTAATTGCTGATGCCTTTTCAAATATACACCATGGTATGCTGTAATGAAGAGTGTAACATTTCGATTTAAAGCTTTCGTGACTGCAAGGATTCATCTTCTTTGGTTCTTTCGGTAAAGTCACGTAGAATGAGAATAAAATAATAAATTGATGAAATAAAATAACACAATAAAATTCTCACAACGTTTCGGCCACAACACAAGCGGCCTTCATCAGGTGAAGGGACGAGACTGTCTGGAGGACAGCGCTGGAGTGAACACAGCCAAGCTCAGACCGCGACCTTTAAGCTGTGTGAGAAGAAACAGAGCGCCTTGACAAAGGAATTAGCATAGAATTTAGCATTGAAATAGCTGAGTGATTAGTTTGTGACTGGTCACAGAAATGGCTATAGGAATAGGTTTTACCCTTTTAACTGGCACAAAAACTGACACCTTTATTCAAGGCATCATGTTTGCAAAAACCACAACACAAGCAGTCAGAATGCAAACAAAAAAGAAGACAACTCTGATAATATGCACTGTCCTTGAATTTGATTGGTCCACACCCGAGACAGCTTTTCTTAGAGCCTAGTCTCCATTGGTGTTGGACCAGAAGACGCCAAAAGGCGTACAACTCAAAAACAGCGCACCATCAGAGTATTGAGGCTGGTCACAGAAATGGCTATGTTGAAGTCAAAGCCTACACATCTGAGCTATTCACAGTAACTGGGTATACACTACACTATATAATGAATACTATATAGTGAACCAATAAAAAACTAAAATATAAATTACCTCAATGTTATCAATAAACTCTATATATTCTCCAATCAGCTAAGCTACCAACAATAAGTCGTTATATATCACAATGCTATATGGCGAAAAAATGGGTGGATTCTTACCCTCAACCTTAACACCACGGATAGCTACGGGCCCCGTTCAGATGGACGAGTTCATCCATGGTTGGAACGGAGGAGGGGGAGAGAGACAGCTGCTTGTTGCAGCCCTGCATTGTTGCAGCCCTGCTCAAGTGGCCCATTTGGCCACAGCAGGATCAGGACACCTGCCACTGCGGTTTGGGGGCGAGAGGGACCCGTCCGCCACCACCTCTCCGGCGGCTCCCCTCCCGCGGCGGTCGTGGGTCGCCACCGCCGCAGGGCCGCCCTCTCCCTGATGCGTCATCGCCGCAGCCGGCACGGGAACCCCCAACTCACGCCGCCACCGCGGGTGGTCGTCGCAGCGCAAGATGCGTTTGAATGTTCTGCGCGACGGCCAACGACATTATTCTGGACTCCTCGGCAATGGCCAATGGAATGGCCAGTTCCCCCAGGAGAACCAACAGCCTCTCAAGGGCCAAGGAATCCAGCGCCCTCCTCTCCAATTCAGGGTACGTGGCCTGAGCCAGCACCAGGAGGGCACAGCGGAACGCCATGGGGGATTCCCCCTCTTCTCGGCGCCGCACTGAAAATTTGAGTCATGCCCTAGATGGTGGCTGAAACACCACAGCCATAAGATGGTAGGCTGACTGCAGCGTCGCCCTGTTAGCCGGTGGAATGGTGAGGAACGCTTGCCGTGCCCATGAGTCGAGGCACGTAGGCAGTGCCCATAACGCCTCCTCGGCGGGCCAGCGCACCGACTTGTAAGCGGCGTCAAAACGCGCCTGAAATTCCATCCAGTCGCCCCCCTTTGAAGCGAACGGCGTGACGGGGGGCAGCCGGCGCAGCCCCGGGTGAGCAGACCCCGCACCCAGCCCGGACTCACCAGTGGCACCGCCCGCCGGCGACTCGAAGGCCGCACCGGGTTGCCGAGCCCCGGCGGCCCCGGCAACCAGCGAGGACGTCCCCCCGGGAACCGCATCCACGGTTGCCGCGAGCGCCATCGCGGCGTGCAACGCACCCGCATTGATGCCGGCAGCGACGTCCGGAGCGGCGGCGCCCATGGGCGCGGCCATTGCAGGTGTCATGGCAGCCGGTTCCTGCATCGCAGCAACAATGGCGGCCGGTCCCGGCAGCGCATAAAAAATGGCGCCCGATTGCTGCGGCGCGTCCGGCGGTGCGTTGGCGGGAATTATATTCTCGGCGGGAGCCGCGATGTCGGCGATTCCGCGGTTTCGGCAAAAATCACCGCCCGCTGAGTGTACGCGGTCCCCCACCTCTGCCAACGCGACGGCGAGCTGCGTCATCGTGAGCTGCAGTGTCTCCAGCCTGGCCGCGATGGCGCGACACTCGTGCGACGGCGGCGCGGCAGCTCCCCCGACCGCCGCCTACTCCGGCTCCGACTTGACCATCTCCGTGGGGAACATCACCAGGGCCCCGGTCTCCGGGATCGTCGCCAGCTCTTCCTCGCCGACGTCCTTGTCACCCAGGTGCATCCCAGGTGTAGTCTTTCATTTTGCGCCGGATTTAGACATTGCGGCGCGTAACGAAACCACTTCTGGCACCAGTTGTTGAGGTGCAACTGACGACGCAGACACGGTTCTTGAGTAGGGGCGGATGCCAGGGTTTATTAAGGGCTACTGCCAGTAAATTTTTAAAGGCTTACGCCTAACAGGTGACAACCCTAATATCTCCCCAGGGGAAAGGGTACTGGGAGGTCCCTAGCTCCACCCAGGCTATACGTGATCTTCCCCCAGCACCGACCGAGGGATCATGCAACTCGGTCGGCTGGGTGAAGTATCACTCTAGCCTGGCGCTGATTCCCCCTACCCTGGATCCCGACTCCCTAACTCTCTCCATTCCTGGCCCTTCGCGAAGACCCCCTCTACATCACGGGTTCCCCCTTATATCCCCCGTAGCCTCTGACGTTATCCATTCTCACCCCCCTGAGTGACATGACGTCCTCCACTACTCGTCTACACAGGTAACAATCTAATCTCAGCTCGTTACCTGTATAAAAGACACCTGGGAGCCAGAAATCTTTCTGATTGAAAGGGGGTCAAATACTTATTTCCCTCATTAAAATGCAAATCAATGTATAACATTTTTGACATGCGTTTTTCTGGATTTTGTTGTTGTTATTCTGTCTCTCACTGTTCAAATAAACCTACCATTAAAATTATAGACTGATAATTTCTTTGTCAGTGAGCAAACGTACGAAATCAGCAGGGGATCAAATACTTTATTCCCTCACTGTATATAAACACCCAGGTTTGTCGTGCTATCAGTGTTACTAACGCCACACGGATTGGTGGAAGAGCGTCACGTGACCGGGACCAAGCAGCCAAACAGAGGTGCGCCCCTCACAAACATGTACGCCCCCGAACAGGCACGTGTGGGATGACGTCCCCCGACGCGCGCGTCATCATGCACGTATGGGCGGTGACGTCAGCTCTCTTTCACAACAGCCGCGCTCGTGTGCAATGACGTCACGCCTCCAACCACGACAAAATGACAGAATGACAGACCTGGGTGTTTATATATGGATAAAAGGGAAAATTGTGAATGTGTCTGTTCAAAATGTTTAGCATACTTCCCGACATGCAACAAACTTGAAATTTGCCATGTGGGTACTTTCCAGACTGGACACCATGCAAAAATTGTAAAAATACACTTTTGGGGGGGGGGGGGGGGGGGCGCAATTATGCATATATTTTGCACGGCAATTGAGCTGTGACGTCACATCTGTCATGTGACCCGTGTGCGCAAGCGTAACGCATTGTGCCTGCTCATGTCACCCCCCCCCCACCTAACCATCCAAGGGTAAAGTGAAATTCAAATGTGTTGCGGGTCTAAGGCGTTCTTCGCGCAGCATTGCTTTATTATTTCAGTTGTTTACTGCCGTACGTACCCTGAAAGTTGTGTGTGTCTGCGGCAAGCGCGTGTATGTGTACCTATGGATGCGCACTTATGTGTGTGTGTGTGGGTGGAGCGGTAGTGTAGTGGTTAGCGCGCTGCGCTACGAACCCGGCGACCCGAATTTGATTCCTGCTCACGGCCACCACCGGTGACGATTATTTTAACCGATCCTGGGCCTCCCCTAGGTCTACTCAGCCTCAATCGAGTAACTGGTGTGGTGTGTGAACATCTCCAGTGGGGAGACAAAGGCGGCCGGGCGTGGTGAATCCAAGTCCCGGGCGAAGCCGGGTAGTCAAGCTAGTTATAATAATTTTTCTTGGTGACCTAGAACAAGACGACCACAATGCACCTTATTTAAGAACTGTTGATGGATTTTTGCATAATAAACAAATTGCTGAGTTTATTTTTTGCATGTATGTGAGCATGTGTGGGGATATATAAATTTTACACAAACACCCATACAGACTACACACACTCATGCAGACTGCACTCACACACAAATATATACACAATTTTCACACCACAGGTGCCAGTCATCACCAAGTACAATCTGCTCCAAATCCTTTAGCACATGAGCCCATTTCCTCTCTAGCCTGTGCCATGTCCATTTATCCAACTCTTTCTATCGAAATAGGAGTTGTTTGGACATGCAATGGCTGGTCATGCTAAATGACCGAGCCAGTACATATTTTCCTCCAGAGGAGCTCACTAATAGGAAAATTATCCGAGAGTTCTTCATACAATCCAGTCTGATTAAACACATGGTGCATCGTCGACAGGCCAACCTTAATGTTGATAGCTGGTGCAGGTATCCATGTAAACGGGCCCACATTTTCAAAGTATGGGGAAGAGAGCACATTGCACACACATCTTACTCATAAGGGTTTTGTGAAAGGCAACACAAGGACACCTGAGGCACCATGGCAAAACAAGTGTAGGTAGATTTAAAGCTTTCGTGACTGCTAGGATCCATACTCTTTGGTTCTATTGGGTAAAGTCACGTAGGTGAAAATAAAATAACAAAAAATCACGACGTTTCGGCCACAACACAAGCGGGCTTCATCAGGTGAAGGGACGAGACTGTCTGGAGGACAGCGCTGGAGTGGGAAAAGCCACGCTTAGATAATGACCTTTAAGCTGTGTGAGAAGAAAAAGACCACGCGCCTTGACAAAGGAATTAGCATATTATTTAGCATTGAAATGGCTCATTGAAATAGCTAAGTTAAAGTATACACATCCGCAGAGGTACCCCTTGACAAAGGAATTAGCGCTGGAGTGGAAGAAGCCACGCTTAGATCACGACCTTTAAGCTGTGTGAGAAGAAAAAGGCCAAGTGCCTTGACAAAGGAATTAGCATATAATTTAGCATTGAAATGTCTCATTGAAATAGCTAAGTTAAAGTATACACATCCGCAGAGGTACCCCTTGACAAAGGAATTAGCATTGAATTTAGCATTGAAATAGCTGAGTGATTAGCTTGTAACAGGTCACAGAAATAGCTATGTTAAAGTTAGAGCATATACATTCACCGAGACACCTAGTACTCATCAAACAGGAGAATTTAGCGAAACACAACCACGCTCAGACATCGGACCTGTGTGCGAGCAAACAAGGTGTTCTGACAAAGAAATTAGCATAAAAATTTGCATTTGATTGGCGGATTTTAAGAAAGAGGTGGTGTACGTGCCGGTGGACTCGCAGTTTGGCGCGGGGGGGGGGGAAAGGGGGGAGGGGGAGTTTACCTATTGATGGTGTGAAAAGGGGGAATTTATAAGAGCTGCGAAAGTTTGGGGTACCACTACTTGAAAAATATACTGTACCATTGAAATTAGTTTAATGTTTAGTTCGATTTAGAACATCTTTCCAATGGTTGCTTAATTTGAAACCATCCTCTCGGTTGAAATTGTGTCTGTGTTTGTAGATCTGAATTGCTTCATGAACAAATCTCTGATAAAAGCCCGTGGGTTTGCAAGGAACCTTGGTATCGGAGAAAATTATATCGTGATCCCCCACAGCGTTGTAACAGTGATCAGCCACGGCAGAAGAATTCGTTTTGCCGTGTTTCAAATCTGATTTGTGCTCGCGAATTCGGTCAGAGACATGTCGCTTTGTCTCACCGATGTAGCAATCACCGCAGGTACAACTCAATTTGTAAACCCCGGGGTACTGTAAATCAGGAATGACGTCCTTCACGGATGGGATCAGATCACGAATTTTGTGTACTGTATTGAACCGGACCTGGATCTTGTGTTTGTTTAGAATTTTGGAAATCTCTTTTGTAACGCCTGCTATATATGGAAGTGTGATGGTTTTGCACCGGAGTATCAAGTGGTTGTTTCTGTATGGAGGGAGAGACAGCTTGGCGGATGGTACGGTCAGAGTAACCATTCCTTTTGAGGGCCAGGTGTATATGTTTTAATTCACTGGTCAGGTGGTGTTGGTCCGAAATGCAATGAGCCCTATGGTATAAAGTTTTGATGAGATAATTCTTTTGGGCTGGGTGGTGGTGGGAATCAGGTTTCAAGTAGGAATCTGTGTGGGTGGGTTTCCTGTAGACAGAATGCCCCAATGAGCCATCAGGTCTCCTCTCAAACAGAACATCTAAGAATGGTAGCTTGCCATCTTTCTCCACTTCCATGGTGAATTTGATAGCGGGATGTCTGGAATTGATGTGGTGTAGGAAAAGGTTCAGAGCTGGGAGGCCATGTGGCCAAATGACGAAAGTGTCATCCACATATCTCTTCCACAGGGAAGGTCTGAGGGTGGAAGTCTGGATGGCGTCTGATTCAAATTTCTCCATGAAAATATTGGCTATCACTGGTGATAAGGTGGGTCCCATGGAGGTACCCTCATTTTGTTTGTAGAAGGAGCCATTCCAAGTAAAGTAGGTATTGTTGAGGCAGTGCCTAACCAGTGCAGGTGTGTCGGGGTCTAGTCCATGTTGGACCAAATTTTCAATTATTTCAATGGTATCAGCTACTGGGACCTTGGTGAACAAAGAGACTACATCGAAGCTGACAAGGATATCGTCAGGGGACAGTACAACGTCTTTGACCATAGAGACCAATTGGGCTGAGTTGAGTACTGCTGAGGCGGTCTTGCCAGTGAAAGGCAGCAAGGTATCTGACAGAAAACGAGCTAGTCTATAGGTAGGGGAGTTGA